ATCGAAATTTCGTAAACATGACTGACGATCATCTTTGCACGTCGAGAAACTTATTTACGGACTTACAAACGTAATAGATATTCGACGACTATTTACTAATAGATTCTAATAAATCTTGCTTCAATTTCGATGTAAATGTATACACGTCAAATACAATTCTACTGGTCTTGTTAGTATTAAATAATATAAATTAGTATAAAAGTTAGCCCTATTATTATATTATATCGTGAATATGCGAATATACATTGTTCGCCGAGTCAATTTCGATCGCGCACCATAATGGACATTGTGACCTCGCGTTATATATTCTTTAATTGACTACTATCGATGATGTAAAATAAAATTTTATTTCTTATTTATACAATAATTTATGACTATTATTCGATTCGATGAAATAATACTCTTTATTCGATTTCCAACTTTCTTTTTTTTTTTGTCTAATGAACCTCGTAAATATCCGAGTGCTCGCTGACGCAATGACGATACAAAGCGACAATAGACGTTATCCAACGCGACATATGTTTGATATAGGTTACACAGGAAGAAATACAAATCTACGAATAAGGCAAACTTTTCAATAGCGTAACATGTATACAGGGTTATCACTGTGCGACAGCAATAAACTTTCATTGCTTACCCTACGAGGCCAAAGCTCATTCTACCGACATCGGATTATGCAATCCGAGACAATTCATTCATATTGTTGCGTTATCTTTGATTTTGTTTAAAACCAAGTTATTTATGGCAACTGTATTGTAATTATGATATATCGATTTATTCGTGCGATAAACGAATCGACTCGATGGAAACTCGAAAAAAATTTTCGAAAATAAAAAATAATTTCGTAATATCATTATCTCCTGTCTGTTTTGCCGATGCCTCGTTTTCCCGAGAATAAATGTTTTGGCATTTTTGTGCCGATGAATCGGTCTGCTTCTCCTTTCAACCCCTTCTTTGCGATTTTTTTTCTTAAAGCTTTATGGGCAATATTCTTCAATTTGCTCTTCATTGCAACATCTTTTATACCCATTTCATCGCGGCTTGGTTTTGAACTACTTCGTCCCCTAGATCGAGACTCGGATTGCAATCTCATGCGTTTTCTAGCTGGTTGCGACAATGATCTTGAACGTCTCGTTTTGGTGAAGTGTGCCTATTGAAATTAAACAAAACAAACGATAGTTACGAATCTTATTAGTTATATTTCTTTATATTTCGATGCGTTACTCACATTTTCACTGTCTTCCATATCGATACCCAAATCTTCCATTTCTTCTTTCAATTTTGATACTGATCTGTCACGAATTTTAGCTGCAGCTGTACGCGGCATTATAGGCTTTGTAGAAGCCTTCTGTATTCGGGCTTCGTCTTTCATGATGGCTTTCTTTTCTCGAATTTGTTTGGCCATTTGTACAATTTCTAACATTGTATCGGATAACATGGGCACTTTGTAATCATACATTCCTGTCTCTTCGCGAAGCTGTTCCTCTTTTTCCAATTCGTTTAATTTCTATAGATAAATATATATGTATAAATATAAAGTTATACTCGAACAAATTATCATATCATATTTTGATTCAACCAATAGAATACAAACATTGAATATTTCTGGATCGATGTAATCACTGATATTATGACCTTCCCAAATTTCCGGAATTACATCGTATTTTTGATCACCCTCGATATCGTAGTTTTTCTTCAAATCAAGAACGTAATCATCTCCCAATTCTTCCTCTATTTCTCGTTCTAATTTTCGTTTCGCCTTTGATCTCTCTTCTATATTTTGTCTTTTTTTCAAAATGTTCTCGGGAATGCAAGGAGCACGAACTTTTTCATCTCTCGGTACCGGTTGCGCAACATGTAAACGATTAAGTAATCCCTCTACCTAAGATCGAAAATATTGCAAGATTTTAAATGTTACAAAATATTAAAGTAAAATGCTTAAAAACTACTTTTAACTTACTTTCTTTGTTCTTATTTTCTGATCGACACGATATGCTAACAAACGTTCGCAAGCTTGTATTTTTACATCCATTACCCCAAAATCCGTGATCGTACTCATTTCCAATAATGGAACATCTTTATCCTCCAACGACTTTAAAATTGCTTGTTTCTCGGTTGAAAGTTCTTCCAAACGTAAAACGTCTACTTTGTTTAATATAACTGTCAAAGGCTTGTTAGCGAACAAAGGTTTAATTGATTCAAATAATTTCACCTACAAATTGAAACTATTGAATTATATTAAAATAAAATTTATATATTCTCGAATTATAAATATTCGAAGAATATATATATATATTTTCGAATTACGAATTCAGTTAAGCAACATTTTACCTGTTCTTCTAAACTATGACCACATTGTTCTGATATATCGCAAAAATAAAGTACAGCTGCTCGTAAATGTGCGAGTGCAGTTATCGCTTGCATTTCTATCACATTTCGTTCTTCGAGCGGATGATCCAGAATCCCAGGTGTATCGATTATTTGCCATCTTAAATATTTGTAATCTGTATGACCAACGTATAAAGACTTTGTTGTAAATGCATATGGTTGAACTTCAACATCAGCACGGGTTATCTAAACACATCGACCAATATAATTTATATCTTTCCATTCATGTGTAATCTAATGGTTCAATTAATTATTCAAATTAAATTACCTTATTGATAAAACTGCTTTTACCAACATTTGGAAAACCGCATATTATTATAGTACGAGTATAAGGATCTATGCTAGGTAAACGAGCTAAATGTTGTCGTACTTGTTCTAAATATGCTAGATTTGCCGCTTGTCTCTTCATTATTGTCGCCATACGACCTAAAGCAGCTTTCTTTAATTGTTTGCACCGATATAAAGAATCTCCATATTTCATCAGTCGAACATAATCCTTTGCTACACTATTGCATAATAATATATTTCATTGAAACATGATATTTAGACAAATGATATCTCTATATATGTATACTTACTTATCGATTAAATGTCTTGCTATATTTATTTGACCAAGAGCCAATTTATAATGATCTTTATCATAAAGAACATTCATTAAATCAGCATAAAATGGATGAACATCGTCTAATTTGGGAAATTCCTGTATGATTTGAGATAATCTGTCATGAAAATTTTGTTGCGTAAATTTCACTTTACGCATATAAAATGATCGTATCCTTGCAATTTTATAATGTTTGTGTACAACGGTTGGAGTTTTCCGTTGAGTTTTTGATAAAATTATATCAATAAAATCCTAAGCAAGCAAAAATATTTATTAAATATAAAACAAATTAATTATGAAATAAAATATTGAAGACATAACTAACCTTTGCAGTAGGTACAATTGCGATTTTCTTGAAATTATACAAACCCATTATTATATTAGTTTTCTTTAAACTATCGTTTTATCAAAATTTTATACTATAAAGTATATGTTTAATATTCAATTTTAATAATAAAACTCAAACCAGAAAACAGAGAACACGAAACCACGTGTATACATTATAATTTTACGGATAAAAATATATTAAATAACGATATCAGCGCCATAACGGTAAAGATAGAAAATTGAGTTTATAATTGGTTATGTTAGACAAAAAGATTATAAATAAGTATGTAAATAAATTACTTATTTATTTATTTACTTTGTTTATTTAATCGTAAAATATTATTATTCAAAAATCATTTCTTATAATTTATAAATATGAATGCAAAGTTAATATCAAAGTTTCTGTTCTTTAAATCTATATAAAAGTTCGTACACAATCTTATACATGTATAACATTCTCTTCAATTAAATATTATATACATATATATGTTTTAAGTTTAAATATACTTATATATTTATTGTAAATTACGATTATAATATGATTTGATGATGTAAAATATCTAACTATTATAATTTATCGTTAAATTGTAAAAGGGAAAAAATTATAAAATATATATTACTTTTTGTTGTATTTTAATTTATTAGGATTCATAAAATATTAAAAATTTATCAACT